ATTTGGCTGTGACACGCGGCGGAAGCGTTGATATACCCGAGTATATCGACCGGCAACCGCTGGCAAATACAAAGATCTGTCACGAGAAAAACGGGCATAAAAGGGTTCCGAAAAAAAAGCCCTTCCAAAAAGCAAGAGATTTTGAAGCATGGCATCCTCACATACTCAAGAAAGGGATATAAGGCAAGCACGCATACTTCGTCTCGATCAGTGTCATCCCCCGAATCCCCCGCGTGGGGATCTAGAAGTTGCTATTAGGAAAGCGTAATACACAGCCCGGAACATGGCTCGAAGAGAAGGCCACGAGACTTCAATTTAAGATATACACAACTATCAATTGTGGAAGAAACCTCGGCGTTCTCTCCACACTCAGGTCCATCAAGAATCATACGATCCGTACAGCCGAGAGAGGCTCCTTCATAAAAGTAAATGTAACGGCTAAGGCCTAGGTACTCTAAGGAGACATCGACGGTGGATCCGATTGACAGGGTCTGATGATAAGAGCTCTTATCCAAGACCTCCTCTCTCCTCTTGTTGAGCACACCGGGCACTCTTCACTGCAGCAGGGCTTCGCCAAGCTCTCCAAAAATCCTCTTAAAAACAAAGGCAAAGGGGTCCTATTTATAGGAAACGCCAAAGAGGAGAAACAGAGAGGACAGCAGCCACCCAACACACGTGAACGGCCACCCTTGGGAGTCATCACACGCACGCAATTCACATCGGAGCACACACCCTGGGTGTCTCGGAAACTACACCACGACGCACACACACACACTCACGGGGTGTCTCGGATTTCCGGAGTTCTGAGACACCCTAGGGTGTCTCGGAAATTCCGAGACACCCCTGGGGTGTCTCGGAATTTCTGAGACACCCCTGGGGGTGTTTCGGAACTCCGAGACGTCCGTAGGTGTATTTGATCGTTTCTCCCGTAGATTCTTCGTACGAACTCGGATTTGAGTGATTCCGGGTGCGTTGGATGCGTGACGAAGAGTTCGATCCGCTCTGATGGTTGGATTGTCTTTAGAGTGGTCGAGGCACGGAGGGCATTGTCCTTTTCGTGAGCAGTGCCGGGCTTCCGATTGGCACGGGTCTTCGTTGTTCCGAAATCCTATCCGCTCACGTGGCTCCTCGATTCACTTCAATCGTTCATCGACGTCGATTAGGCTCATGTGGGTCGGATAGTGACGTTCATCGTTGTTCTTTAATACCGAACCGTTTGTGGAGACCTATAGGCAATTTTCGATGCCTACAGTGCACTGGAGTACTAGTGACAACATAAACTAACTGTAAGTCATGGTAATTAGTTAAACAAGTTCATGAGAGTTTTCTGTAATTTATGTTGTATAGAGGGGTCTTAACGAATGGGTTGTGAACTTTATCCTTCTTTTTTATTTACGTGACGTTATCAACTAGAGCTATCCTAATCTTATATGCATCATAATACTGGTCTTGGTTTGACGATGTTTGGGTCCTGAATTTCTCCTACATTCTTGTGATATATTGCATGGGCAGGCTCTGAAAGCTGAAGGTCAGGTATGGCTACTCTCAAACACGGACCCAAAGGAGGACATTGTGCATGCCAACGACTCCAAAACAGAGATGCAGGTCGATGACGATCTAAAGGAGTTCTTCAGGAGCATTGTTCTGCCCACTGAAATGTAAGAAATCGAGAAGGATCTTGTGATGGATGGGTTGAATCCAGCAACTGACACTGAGAACTGAGAAGAGAAGTTCCATTGCTGAGGCCCTTGGAGTGCCGTCTCAGCCCATGAAGCTAAAGAAGAAGGAGAAGGGCGTCACTAAGAGGACCAAGCTCATTAATGCTCATTTGCCAGAGCTTTCTGAAAATTTGGAAGGCTCTTCTATTCTTGATAATGAAGGTAATCAGATTCTTACAGTCTTGCAATATTAATTCTATATACCTGACATCAAAATTTGTTATATCATTTTTCTTCATCTATAATAAAACAAACATAGAGGCCAGCTTAGTCCACCTATGAGAAAGCAGGGAAGCAATACTCTTCATATCAGATATTTCCAAATGTTTACCATATTCAACTGTTTGCATGCAAAAAATTATTTTACCATCAGTACCGATAATACCTTCTATAACTAGATCTCCATATGATGTTCTCTTATAATATATAGTCCAACTAAACAAGCAAGCGTTCATACCGAGCTACTAAATCCAACTTAGTCCACTTGGAACGAATAGTGATAATTAGCAGAGTGGTCGCTTGACAAAAGAGGCCACAGATTAGACCTAGCCATAATCCCTGCAAGAATAAAAGAAAAGGTGTTTACAACTTCTCATGCATAGTTGTGATTTCAAATAAACTAATAGAGAACATGTATATGTTGGGAATTTAACGCCTAAATCCACTAATGCAACAGAAACGCAGTATAGAGAACAGTACACCAAGATTTACGAGGTTCGGCAACTGCCTACGTCCTCGGGAGCCACACAGTTAATTTCTTATTTAATCTAACAAGAAATTACAAGTTAAGAGCAAATCTCTAAACTGAGATTCCTCAAATTAAACACTGTAGCTACAGTGTTAATACCCACTTTAAAATACCCTTTTCTCTTTTCTCTCTCTTCTTAAACCCTTTCTTTATCTCCCCTCAAATCCCTAATTTGAGAGCTGGAGATCAAAAAATAAAATCGCTGCTGCGTTAAGGGGCTTCGCCACCGCCGCCAGAGAAAAGTCGGGGGAGAGAGCAGCAGGAGCTAGGGCATCGGGGGGGGGCCTGCGACATCTCCGAGCTCGTTGGAGCTCCTCCGCCGTCGGAGGTTGGTATCCACCTTCAACCTAACAATCTCCCACTTGGAGACCAAACCGACGCCAACAGACTATCTCATCAAGCTCCTCTCCTGTGTGGCTCCGCCCTCATCATCTATGCATGAAGGCCAACTGAAGTTGCACACAACTTCAGTTTCTGAAAGGTCGCTGCCTTTGTCAACATATCCGCTGGATCCTTTCTTCCTTGGATATTCTGTTGAAATCCTCTAACAACTTGTCGGGCTCTGTATCTTCTGGAACCATTCTGCTCCTTTTTCACTCGATACACCCACTTGTTGTGACGTGCCTTCTTCCCCATGGGCAACTCAGCTAGTCCCCATGTCTGGTTGGAGATCAGAGATTTCTTCTCTTCTTTCGCAGCAAACTCCCACTTGCTCGCATCTCCACTCTGACAAGCTTCATCAAAGCTTTCAGACTCTCCTCCATTTGTCAGCAACATATAATTCATGTATCTGCTGTTAGGCACAGGAGGACGAGTACTTCTCCTCAATATCGGAGCTGGTGCGTCGGGCTCCTGCGCACCGTTCTGTCCAACAGGCTCTTCTGGCTGAGGACCTTCTGCATTGGGTTCTTCCGAGAGGTTATTCGGAACATCATCTGCATCTACAAATGTTGACTCGCTCTTTGAGTCACCGTCATCTGTCTTGTGCATGTCCTTGTACATCACCTTCTCGTTGAATGTCACATCTCTGCACCTGATCACCTTCTTGTTTTCGTTGTCCCAAATGCGGTAGCCGAACTCGTCTTCACCATACCCGATGAATGTGCATTTCTTGGACTTGGGATCAGGCTCATTCCTGCCTTGATCACTTATATGCACATAAGCTACACAACCGAAAACTTTGAGATGTGAGAGGGTTACCTCCTTTCCGCACCATACCTCTTCTGGTATTCTGTGCTCCAATGGAACCGATGGACCTCGGTTGATCAAGTAAGCTGCTGTGTTGACTGCTTCTGCCCAGAACTGCTTCGGTAGGCCTGACTGCGTCCGAATGCTTCTGGCTCTCTCTGTCAACGTTCTATTCATGCGCTCAGCCACACCATTGTGCTGAGGCGTGCCGGGCACGGTCCTCTCCATTCTGATACCGTGCTCATAGCAGAACTTCTTGAATCTGGTGTCTTCATACTCACCACCATTGTCTGTTCTGAGTTTCTTTACCCTCAAACCGGTCTCATTCTCGACCATGGCTTTCCATCTTCTGAAAGCCTCAAACACTTCTGACTTTTTCTTCAGAAAGTAGACCCATACTTTCCGAGAGTGATCATCAATAAAAGTCACGAAGTAGTGTTTCCCACCAATCGACGCGGTGGTTGTTGGTCCCCAAACATCCGAGTGAACAAGCTCTAGATTCTGCTTCCTGGGGGGTCTGCTACTTGCCTGAAAGCTAACTCTCTTCTGCTTTCCAAGTATGCATTCTTCACACACATCAATCTCTACTGATTGTAAACCTGGGAGTTTTCTCTTTGTGTGCATAACCTTCATCCCCTTTTCACTCATATGACCGAGTCTCTGGTGCCACAGCTTTGAAGTCTCATTGCCTGCCGCAACTGAGATCGAACAACGTGCACCTGCTGTCATATACAGGGTACCAGTCTTCCTACCTCTGGCAATCGTCATTGCGCCCTTCGAAATCCTCCAGTCATCTCCATGGAAAGTCATCGTGTAGCCTTCACTAGCCAGCTGGCTTACTGAGATTAAGTTCCTCTTCAGGTCGGGAATATACCTGACATCCTTCAGCTCCCATACTGACCCATTCAGCTTAATCTTCACTACACCTTTGCCAATAATGGCACATGCTTGATCGTCACCAAGATATACATTTCCAAGGTTTCCGGGGATATACTTCTCGAGGAATTCTTTCTGAGAAGTAGCATGGAATGATGCTCCCGAGTCCAACACCCAAGACTCCTCCTTGCTCTCCAAAGAGCATATCAGCGCATCATCTCCTCCTGAGGTGGAGGCAACATTCACATCTGCATTTGCCTCCCACTCCTCCCGTGCACTCCTGCACTGATTCTTGTAGTGCCCGGTTTTCCCGCACTTCCAACACTCGATAGCCTTCGAACTGTTGGGATTTCTGGATTTGGATCTCCTATCATCTGATCCATTTCCTCTGGTTGAACTTTTACCTCTTGACTCTGTATGCAATACTGAAGAGGTTGTTGCTTCACCCGACTCTCTCCGTCGGATCTCCTCACTGAGAACCAGATCACGAACGTCGTCAAACTTCAACTTATTGCTTCCCGATGAGCTACTCACAGCTGTGACCGTAGCGTTCCAACTCTCTGGTAGGGAAGACAAAAGGATCAACGCTCGAACTTCCTCATCAAACTCAATATCAACTGAACTCAATTGGGTCGTGACTGTATTGAGTTCATTGAGATGATGTGCTACCGATGCACCTTCCGCCATTCGCAGATTGAACAACCGCCTCATCAAATGGACTTTATTTGAGGCTGATGGCTTCTCATACATATTTGAGAGTGCTGCCATAAGATCTGCCGTGGTCTTCTCCTTTGCAATGTTAAAAGCAACATTGCGGGTTAACGTCAAACGAATAACCCCGAGGGCCTTTCTGTCTAGAAGATTCCAATCTTCTTCCTTCATACCCTCCGGCTTCTTCCCCGAGAGAGGTTGATACAGATTTTTCTGATACAGATAATCCTCTATCTGCATTTTCCAGAATCCGAAATCTGATCCATCAAACTTCTCTAATCTCACATTTCCCTCATCTGCGGCCATGGCTCCCACTTGAATCTGACTTTCTCTAGATCGTTTCACGCTCTGATACCAGTTGTTGGGAATTTAAAGGCCGAAATCCCCTTATGCAACAGAAACGCAGTATAGAGAACAGTACACCAAGATTTACGAGGTTCGGCAACTGCCTACGTCCTCGGGAGCCACACAGTTAATTTCTTATTTAATCTAACAAGAAATTACAAGTTAAGAGCAAATCTCTAAACTGAGATTCCTCAAATTAAACACTGTAGCTACAGTGTTAATACCCACAATAAAATCCCCTCTTCTCTTTTCTCTCTCTTCTTAAATCCCCTAAAACACTGTTGAAGCCTGGGAATTTAAATCGCTGCTGCGATTTGAGAAAAAAGGAACGCTGCTGCGTTTGGGGTTTTTCACCGCCGCCAGAGAAAGAGGTCGGGAGAAGGAGGCTCGAACGCGAGGGTCGACGAGCTTGAACGCGCGGGTCAGGTCGTTCACACCGAGGGTCGCGTTCGTCGAGCGAGGGTCGCGTTCGCCCAAAGCCACCATCGCGTTCGTCGTCGAATTCGCTGAGTCGACGCTCGCCTGCTCCAACCTGGAGCTCGTCGGAGCTTCGCCGGAGCTCCTCATCGTCGTCGGAGGTTGGTATCCACCCTCAACCTAACAGTATATGTATGCATATGAGAATGTTATCTGTGAATGTATATATATATATATACACACACACATATATATGAACTACTATACAGCTCAATTCCATGATAAGGCCACACCTTATAGAATTAATTTAGTGGTCCCAATTCATTATACTAGAAAAACGTGCAGTAGTAACATTTTTATGTGCATATTACGGTGTTCCCTAGTACTTTCACCTAACAATGGGCATAAATGCTTCTAAGTTTCCGTGCATATGCAAGATCAATTGATCGAGTACCTTAGATATTGTACGTATGTATGCGTTTAACAATTGTGATATCAACATATCCATACAATTTCTAACTTCCTGGTGGTAATTGTGTACATTTGAAATGAAAGGAACATACCTTATCGTGAACCCCAAGCTTAAATCCAAAGAGAAGCGCTAATGGCACGCCAATGAGATAAAATGCCACAAAATTGGTCCAGGCTGCTAAGTGTTGCCAACCACATCCTCTAGCCACTCCTGCAAGAAAATTTCAGGTTCTGAATTTTCATATAAAATACTTTTTAAACAAGGGAAGAAACATGCAAATTTTACTGAATGATCACCTGATAGAACTCCCTGTGCTGAGTCCAACAATATAGACGCTGCGAGCAAGGGAGTCATAGAAGCAAATTCTTGAACGATTGAGGGGTTGAAAGTAAAAAACCTGGCCCAAAGATTGTGACCAAATGCTAATAAAAGAAGAACAGAGAAGGCAAGAAAGCAAGAGAGCTTTAGTGTCACAGATACAGCATTTTTTGCTTTCCTGGTGTTTCCAGCACCCATCTCATTTGATACACGAGTGCTGTAGGAATAATAGAGTTAGATACCATAAGGAGTAGTTGTCAAAGGATGGAGAGTTTGTAATGCAATTGACAGGAACTAGTTTGCATACCTCACTGCTGCACTGAATCCATATGTGATCATAAATGAAATGGCTTCCGTATTGACACTGTTTTTAAAAGCAACACTTAATTCCGGCATGCGCATATTTGCATCTTGGGGGAAATATGTAATTGCAGATAGACCCCCCGCCGTGGTATCTCTATTTTGAGTTTACCAACCCCTCTAATTTTATTATTGCAGGTAGACACCCTTGGGTGAAATTTTTGACTCTTTCGTCATCAGAGAAAGAGAAATTTGTCTTTTGATGAATGGGTCGACCGAGGGTAAAAGAGCCAAAAATCTCATTCAAGGGATATCTTCAAAAATAAAACTAGCGGGGTATCAAAGTTCAAACCAACAATACCACTGGTGGTCTATCCGAGTTAACTCTTTTTTAAATTGAGAGCAAGGGGAAGCAAGCATACCACATAGCAATAAGTGAAGTACTGTTCTCAGAGTTCGGCATCAGGCCAGCCAGCAACACCAAAATCTCGAAAGCACAATATTCCAAACTATGGAAACAAGAAAAGATTCAAAGTATTGTAGTTTAAACTTGGAATAAGATTTACATTATGATAATTAACTAAGGCAAGGATTCTCTGAATCGTTATTTTTTTCCTTCTATTTTTGTAGATAAGGGTGCATAAACGTGGATTTTCAACATAACAGTCACGACAAGAGGAGCAATTCACAGCATTGATCAAAATTGTAACAAATAATCCCCTTGGAGCTCATCACATATCATACTGTATTTCTCCTAATGAGTTCAAATGCACGGTGAAATTTCACTTTGTATTCTTTTTTGAGAAATGTTGATTTTGTATTTCTTTCACCAATATATGCTATAGAACAAATTTTTCTACATCTCTAAGATAACATAATATCTACACCTATTTGAGTCCTGTAGTATCATTGTTTTGCACTCACTACCCCCGTACTATCATTTTTTTTGAACTTACTACCCCTGTAGTTCATTGCTGCAGATATAGATCCCTGGGTTAAAAAAAAAATTCTTTTAACCCTTGGTGACATTCTGGCAAATATTACCCCCGGGTAAATATATTTAATTATCTGAATGAAAAAGAGTCAAAAAAAAAAAAAAATCTAACTCAGAGAGTCTATCTGCAACAATGAAACTACAGGTGTGTTTAGAGCAAAATAACCATACTACTGGAGGTCTATCCGCACTTAACCCTTCACAAGATGACATATAAGCTGAGTACTCACAAAACCATCACTGCAGAGGGTATAGCCAGCTTCAAACTAGGAAACACGTGTTGGAATGATTCCATCGATAATCCTTCCCAAGTGTATCTAAATTTCTCCGAACAATTGACATATATCGCCAACATAAGTACCGAGATCCACAGTGATATCGAGCCACCCAATGATGCTCCCATAAAACCGAAGCCCAAAGTATGTACCAACAAATAAGTCAGCCCCACATCGAAAACTAGAGGAAGTACAGAGAAAAAAACCAACGGAATCACCACCGACTGAGTTTGAAGAAATCTCAGCACGCATTGGAGATACGCGTATGCGAATAGTCCCGGTATCAGAAATCTCAAATAGATACAAGCCATTTTCGCTACATCGGGATCTTGATGCAGCCAAATTAGTACAGGTTCTGAGAAATACCATGAGAAGGAGATCAGGATTGAGAAGAATGTAGTTATGATGATCGATGATTGTAAATATATTCCTAGCATTCTGTATTGTTTTGCGCCGTATCCTTGACCACATAGAGTCTCAAGGGCTCCACTCAAGCCAGTCTGAAACGGTAGACAGATTAAGAGCAACAATTGTTATGTAGTGAAGGTAATATTTATTGCACTAATGTTTAAGATTATGAAAATGAAAAGCTTTTGGGGGATGACATAAAACTGCTGGGATAATGTTATACCAAAATGTTTAAGTGAATGCAAGCATTAGAAAGGTTCGAAGGTTTGAATGACAACATCTGAAAATATGCAGGACACATTTTTTCGGTTATCTTTTTCCTGCCCTTGAACTTTGATGCTTATCAGTTGCATATCACAATTGATGAAATTGAATTGAGAAAAGAAAACTGTTTATATCAGCATAATACTCATGAGCGCAGTGCATTTAATATCCTCAACCATACAATCTCAAATGCGCGCTGAGATTTATATGCAAAATGATGAATATGTAGGTGTTATGCAAAATGATGAATACGTAGGTGTTATTTTCGGAGATCTCTGGATATGTGAAATGGCACTGAACAAAGATTTCCAAAGCTATTTAAAAAAACCAAAAAAATCAAGTGAATTTCTTTGAGAATATATAATGTCACTTGGGTCTGTGACAGTCTCAACTCCTAATTAACCTCATGAGCCTAAAATTTAACCCGAGAAATTGATCAAATAACCCAAAAAATCAATAATTTACCATGAGGGCAATTCCAGTGACAGTTCCCCAAGAATTTCCCAGAGTAGCTCCAGCGAGCTCAAGATCACCAAGATGACCAGCAAACATGACAGATGCAAGGGTAACAGCATAATATGACATGTTCGTGAGGATCATTGGAACTGATAACAGCAGCTGAGTCTTAGCCTCCTTCACATCTATAAATTTACTCAAAAACCCATAAACTCCTTTTCTTCCTAACTCCTCATCTGACTCCATAACAAGAGGAGTTGTTGCAGCCATGGTTGCTTCTTTCTCTGCACTCTCTTTGCGATAGTTGGTGGTTGAACTCTGTGCTACAAAATTACAACACGTCAATGCACGTCGTAAAAATTTAAAAAGAACTGGGGGCTAACACATAACCCTTTGAACTTTTTTTTTTATCTCACCCCTCAAAAATTAGGGAGTTTTTGTGAAATTAACGAAAATTGAACTAGTAATTAAGACTTAAAGATTGTAATGAGGTGGTCACTTGGAAGTTGGAACTACCTTCGTCCTTAAATGTATATATAATATAACTTTGAAGGAGTTGTATGAATCATATATATATATAGGAAATAAATCTGATTTCTTGTAGATCTAAACATAATGAATTGATATTATATCTTGAAGTTTACTTCACCTACTAAATCTAATTTATGGAGTGACAATGAGAGTTGGGTGTCATAACTCATGGTTAAGTTCAGATGAGTGGGTCTGCATGATGAGATATTAATATGTAGAAATAGATAAAACCCTAATCAATCTTTATTGAGATCATAAGAGAGATATATATAGCCATACAATGTGTTAAGGTTAATGGTAACTGTTCTATGTACCCAATACTCATACTTTGAATCAACTACTATCTATTTAACACTCCCCCTCAGCAGCTGGAGCATGATTATAATCTATCATGCGCAGCTTGTCACATATAGTAGAGAACACTTTGAAGATGTAGGCCTTGGTAAGAATATTCAGCAAGTTGTGATTGAGGACGGAGTGAATCGTAGAGATACTAATCTCTTCTCCCAAGCATACTCATGGAATAAAAATTGGCAGTCACTTCAATATGTTTTTGTCCTCATCATGAAAATACAGATTCGTGTGCAATGTATGGCAGATTGGATTGTCAAAATGCATAGGCAGTGGGTCCGAGGTTGAACGAAGACCAAGGTTCTGCATAACTTTCGTAGCCACACGATCTCACAGCAGTGTGAGCCATTGGGCTCCTGTATCGGCCTCTGACTCAGACGCGAACTACATCTTGTTTGTTGCTTCTCCAAGTGAGCAAGATACGGCTCCATAAAAGTACATGAAACCTGAGGTTGCTTTCGTGTCTCGCATATCTCTAGCAGTAGCCAGGATCAGAGAAAGGCAGAAATGGCGAGTATGGCCATAGCTTTCTATATAGCAATCCTTACAGGGCAACTGCTGATATAATGCAAATCTTTTAGGGCAGCTGTCAATGGACTTCTCGTAGGTTTGTGCATAAATCTACTAGTAAGCCTGACACACGGGCAAAAGTTACTATCAGGTCTGGTAACTGCTCAATAATTAGTTACCCAAATCATTCACTGTATTTGTCCAGCAGTCTTCTAGTAAGGGTATCATCACGCCACAATTTAAGATTTCCTGCCATTGGAGTGTTGAAGGTTTGCATCCGAGAGACCTGCTTCTTCTAGTAAACTCAGCACATACTCCGTTTGGCGACACACAAGCAGCGCCATGCCTTTGATATGGCAACTTCAATCCCAAGAAAATTATTTTGGTTTTCGCCATGTCTTAGTGACAAATGACGGTTTAGATACTCCTTGGTCCTCTATTAAGTGCAACGAATCCTCCCAGTGAGCAGAATATCATTCAACATAAACGGCTAAGAAATAAGCCAACAGTTTGTTGTGCGTCGGAAGACAGACAGAGTGATCAGAATGACAGCGTTTGGAAACCAAACACAGAAATCACCTTGCTGAAGTTGTATCAACAGGCTCGCGGACTCTGTTTTTAACCCATAGAGGGCTTTCTCTAGTCTGGCAGACAATATTCTCAGCACCCCTGAGCACATACCAGGAGGTTGCCTCGCATATAATGTCTCGTCCAAATCGACTCATAAGAAAGCATTCTTTCACATCTAGTTGATGCTAAGGCGCAATCACAGATTAACAGCTCAGAGAGAAGAGAATAGGATATGGAGTTTAGACCGCAACAGGAAGAAAAAGTTTGAATTAATCAAATACATATGTTGAGTATATCCTGTAGCAATAGGCGAGCTTTTTCTATGCAACATAGGTAACCAGTCAGAGGCGATATTTCAAGGTATACCCATCTGCAGCAACCACCAGGTTGCACAGTAGGGAGAAGAGACATATCCCAAGTTCCCCTAGAAAGCAGTGCCTTCATCTCTCTCATTCCCTATCCAATGTTTCCAGGCGGGTATAACAAAGCTTCTCATGTGGACTCGGGTAAGAGATATAGTGGACAGGACAAAGCAAATGACGAAACCAGGATGGCGTGAGACGGTCATAAGAGAGCTAAAAAGAGAGAGAGGATATTTTGGGCAAGACGTTTACCTTTACGAAGAGCAATAGGAACATCTAAGTCAGAAGAGATATGGGGCTCGACATGAGATGGACCTGCAGCTGGAGAAGAGGAGTCAGTTGGAACAGAGACTGGCGTATGTACTTTAGGACGGCGAGAGTACGTCAGTAGAGGCTGTGGTGCAGCAGCAACCGGAGCAGATACCGGAATAGTAGTGGGAGCTGTAGATGGTAGAGGTACCTGTGGACTGACAGAGGTAGTGGAACCAGAAGAAAAGTATGGGACAGACTCAAAGAAGGTAACATCAGCAGAAACAAAATATCTCCTGGTGTTTGGATGATAGCACCTATACCCTTTTTGAGTACGTGAGTATCCAACAAACACACACTTAATGGACCTAGGAGATAATTTATCCAACCCAGCAGTCAAATCCTGAGCAAAACACGTACAACCAAAAACTCGAGGAATCACAGAAAAACGTTTTTTAGCAGGATAAAGACAGTGGAATGGTATCAAACCATCAAGAACAGAGGAAGGCATTCGATTAATCAAATAACAGGCAGTGAGGACAGCATCAGACCACAAGTACTTTGGAATATTCATATGTATCATCAGCGTTCTAGCAACATCTAGAATATGTCTATGCTTCCTCTCAGCAACTCCATTTTGTTGTGAAGTGTGAGAGCAAGAAGTTTGATGAATAATACCATTAAGAGCACAAAAATTTGAAACGTTATTTTTCATATATTCCAAAGCATTATCAGTACGAACAGAAGTAGAGAACTGGGTTTTTATTTCATTATAAAAGAGTTCAATAACATGCGAGACTTCAGACCTCTCTTTCAACAAATATAGCCAAGTCATGCGAGAGAAATCATCAACAAAAACAATGAAATATCGAAAACCCTTCACAGAGGGAACACGACAAGGACCCCAGACATCAGAATGAACTAACTCAAACGCAAAACTACTGCGTTTATCGACACGACTCTGAAAAGAAGCACGATGGTGCTTACCCAGTTCACATGACTCACAACCTAAAGAAGAAAGAGAAGACTGAACAGGAACTACCGATCTAAGTTTCTGTAGTGAAGGATGACCCAGACGCCAGTGCCACAGTAAGGTAGAATCAGGCTGTGCTGCAACAAGACCAGCACCCGACACACTATCGTCCAAATAGTACATACCTCCTCTCTCATGAGTAGTAGTAGAAACAGGTGAACGAGTCGACTCGGCATCGGCCACTTGGGCCCATTGAGGACGGCCAAACTTCTCCCAGCACTTCTCAGAAATATGATTGGTCCTCCCACAGTGACTACACTGACGTGAACCCCTATCAGAATCACCATGTCGCCCACTAAAGGAGCCACGTCCTCCCACAGACTCACGACCACGACCACGACCACGACCGCGGCCTCTGCCTCGACTAGAGAACATGGCAGACTGATCCACTGAATGTGGAGAAGGTGCATTAGTAGCAGAAGTAACACCAGTAGAGACCTGCATGACTCTGGAGAATGTAGCAGTCAGGGAGGGAATCGAATCGCCACCCAATATTTGTCCCCGTACCTGAGACTGTAAATTAGGGTGCAGTCCAGAAAGAAACTTGGAGACAGCCAGATCGCGGCGATACCCCAACAATGTCGCCGCATCAGCTACTGCAGGCTGATGCATTTCTAGTTCGTCTATCAGTCCCTTCAACTCACCAAAGAACTCTGGAACTGTCTTATCGCCCTGTTTGATCGCAAATAGTCTCTCATAAATCTCAAAAACACGGGAAACATTCTTCTCATTCCCGTACATAATCTTCAGGCTGTCCCACATTTCCTTTGCAGTGGTTAAAAACATAACACTGCTACTGATCTGTGCATCCAAACTGTTGAGAAGCCAAGTCATAACACAGTAATCAGAGGAGAGCCATGAGTTGTAGGTGGGATCAGATGGTGGTGGTGGAGATGCCAGAAGAT